TATACAGGGTCACTATGAGTCAGAACTGACTCGACGGCACTGAAGTACATATTTTAAAAACAAAGCTGAGTTAACGCTGTTTAAAGATTTACATTTCAGCCTGAGGATTAATCTCTTTTTGTTTTAAAATCTTGTATGAAAACATGTAGTAGGTAGATGGTAGTTGATTGACTAGTGGATTCAAAGCAGCTAAAAAAAAAGTTCGTGGCAAAAGTCCATTATCTTTTCATTCATTTTTCCATGAACTTTTTCAAGCCCCCTCATGTGGTCATAAATTAAAACCAAAACAAATCCCATCGCCGAGATGATTCCCACTCCTAGTGAGCCAGGAAGACGGCAGGACTGCCCCAAGGATTTCTGAGACTTAAATCTTTATGGGAGCAGATAGTTTTATCTTTCTTCCTCCAAACGACTGATCATATAGTTAGCTCAGTGTTTAGCCCACTGCCCCAGGGCTCCTTGGGTAATAATGTTATCGCTGTGTGCTGGCCAATTGGTTCTGGCTTATAGCAATCCTATATAGGACTTCCTAGAGTGGGATTGAACCACCAACTGCGATTAGCAGTCTGGTGCTTACCCTGCAATGCCACGTGAGGGTTCCTCAGGACTAGTGAATTATCACAGAGCAAACACACCTGTGCGCCACCACCCAGCTCAAGAAATAACACTGGTAGCATGCAGTTGGAAGACCTGGTGTGGTGCTGTGGGTTCATGAGCTGGACCACAAGGTTGTTTTGAATTATGGGGTCAGCGATGCAAAGTCACCAGTTGCTCCTTGCAAACTCTATTCCAGGTTGCTGTGAGTCGGCAGCGGCTCAACGGCATTTAACAACAACAACGTGGTGAGCTTTTGGTTGGTTTTTCCTTCAGTGTCCCGAGTTCACAGAAAGACAGCCTCTCTCTGTTGGGACTCGGCGTAGTTCTGAAAACTCCTGACCTGTGAACCCCAAAGCTTAGTAATGTATTTTAACCCTGAGAATGCCAATAAACCCAGCTGGGCCATCCTTCCACTGGAAGGGTAAAAGAAAAATCAACTTCTCAAATGTACTGTTTGTTTTCTGCGTCATGAGCTAGCTTCAGACACTGACATGCAGCGATTCCTCAAGAGTTCTACAAATCAGTTAAATGAAATGAGTGATTTCACCCAGCGTCACATTTAAAAAGGATTTCAGGTTCCAGAAGATGAAATGCCTCTTTTACCGTCTCCCGTTAACAGCAGGATTACCAGGATTAATCCATTCTTTCTCCACCTTTGTCCCAAAGAAAGTTGGCCAAGTTTTGTCTGTTACTCTGTCCACCTCTGTTGCAGTTTCTTCCAGATGGTGGAATGAGCGTAATGATATCGCCACTTTCAAAGACAGTGTGCTGGCCACGTATAGTGTATGACTCTGCAGTTCACTTTCTCCTTTTAGGATGTAAATTCAGAAGTGCTGGTGTGGTGCACAGGCTGAAGGTTTCGGTACTGGCCGGAAGGTCGGCCATGGGAACCCACCAACGTCTCCTCTGGAGGAGACCCGGCAGTCAGCTTCTGTAAAAACTTACTGCTGTTGTTGTTAACTGCTGAGTCAGTTCTAACCCATAGCGACCCTCTACAGGGTTGCCGAGGAGCAGCTGGTGAGTTTGAACTGCCGACCTTGCGATCCAGTACTTACTGCTCCACCTCCTACTCAGGTCCGGTCAGTACCTTCCTTGGCAGCCTTGGTCACATGACAGCCTTGGAAGCCATCGGGGCCAGTTCTACCCTCTCCTGAAGGGTCCCTAGCACCCATCAACAGGCTGTCTCCTACAAAACGGGACTGAAGAGCAGTTTGCTGGTGTGTTCTCTTAGGGTCCTAGGTGGTTTCTGCCCCCAACCTCTAACCCACGGGTATACACACACTCCTGTGATGGTGAAAATGGTGACTGTGTGGGCGAGTCGGCCTCATTACTGGAGAACACAGTCATCTCAGCACACGTTCTACTTGCTTTGTGTTCTTGATTAACGCTCGTGTTTAGTTCTCCGGCTTTGTTGTTTTTTAACTGTTTGCATTGTGTGGTGCCATGGGGTAAGGTTTGGGCTACTGATTGCCAGCAGGTCAGCTGTTGAAAGCCATCCCAGATCAGGCGTCTGCTCCTATAACGATGCACAGCCTTGGAAGCCCTATGGGCAGTTCTACTCCGTCCTATAGGGTCTCTGTGAGGTGGCAGTGGGGTTTGCTCTGAGAGTTCAGAGCAGCTGCTGTATAGTGTGGGTAGAAGGCCCGAGGCCTCAGTGTGGCACTGAACGGAGTTCCGTGTGAGGCCTTTTCTAATCGGCATCTAAAATCCCCCACCCCCACCCCACCCCCAACAAAATAGCAAAAAACCAGATCTGCAGCCCTGACCAAGAAATCCTCTGAGCCTCCATTTTACTTGCAAGTGACTTTTATTATATGAAGATGATATACAAAATACATTCATAATGACTAGAAATACAGGACCACGTCATATATCTGCAGCATATTTCCTTGGCTTTTATAAAAGTAACTTTAACATTCCAGTTTCCTTAAATAGGTATGCACAGGACAAACACACACATATATGTACATAGAGCTGCTTCCGCTGCCATTCAGAGACACTTCATCCAGTGAACCAGGGCTAGCAAGTAGTGTTCAAGTCCCACCTTGTCTGGTTTGAGACGCACAGCATTGCTAAAAGACTCAAGCCTGGCCGAGAGACTCACACTGGAATCTGAGCATCACTTCTTGGGGGAAAAAATCAAAGATTTAAGTCCCACCCCCCCGTGTTTCCACACATCTCTCGAATCCATAAAGAAAACCGCCTGCCTTTGTCACAGCGCTGCTCGAACGAACCAGTCGGAGGTAAGCACTGGACAACTAGAAACATTCATGGTTTTTCTTCCAGATGGAACCTGCTTTGGTGGGTGGTAGCACACCTGAGTTCACACAGTTCTGGTATTTGGGGGGAATGGTGGTACTAAAGTCTCAATTCAGAGCTAAATTATTAGATTTGGGGGGAGGGTTATCATATTTTTATTGCTCTAAGCAAACATTGAAATGACTGAAACAATGTTAAGACTGTTACCACTGCTTGCTGGGTCCTTATCTGATTTGGGGAAAAAACACACCCGAGTAGGGAGGAAGGAGGTCTTCCCTACACACAACCTCCGGGTCACTCACATGGACTCCCTGCCCAGCGCCCCCCTGTGGCCCTCGCCTGACTATGGGCCTGGCCTCGCTTGCTGCCTCTCCCCTCCTCCTATAAAGACCCTTGAAGACAAGCACCAACCCACGGGGAAGGAAGCCCAGAGGCTCTGGTTCCCTTTCAGGTACTGGCGGTGGTGTTAACAGGAGACAGGGCACTCACCTTTCCCAACCACTGGCTTAGAGGGTGTCTGCCGCTGTCCCTCCTATGGAAGCAGCCCATCTCATCCTTGTCTCTCAGAGTGATTGGTGGGTTTGAACTGCTGACCTTATGATTGGCAGCCCAATGCTTAACCCTTTCTCCTCTCCCAGAAGCAGCCATTCCTTGTTGCTTGTCCAGCCCTTCCCTGGCAGTAGAAGGTACCTGTGTCCTAACTGCACAGAACATGATTCACCCAAGTGCCAAACGCAGTCACCATTTCTGCTGTCCCTTCTCTCCCTACTCTCCTGGGCCGGGCAAGGCCCCACACAGGGCAAGATGGGCTTCTCCTTCTGGATGATGCCAGTCTACACCCCGAGTCCCACTTCTGGTTATTGTGAAGTGCCGTCGAGTCGACTCCGACCCATAGTGACCCTGTATAGGGTTTCCAAGGAGCAGCTGCACTGACCTTACAGTTCAAACGACTGCAGTCTGATGCATTAGCCCCCAGCGCCACACCAGGCCTCCACTTCCAGCAATACTCTGCATAAATTTCAGATCCTCTCTTTGTTGAAGAAGCATAAAGTACTCCTACCGGGGGGACACTCTTTCACGTCCTCCTGGGAGGTTAGCGGGAGTTGGTGGCATCCCGGGAAAGGGGAGTGGAGCTTTGGCTTCCTGGGCTCTGGGCCAAAATTGTCAGGGTGAATTGGTGGGGTTGGGACAGAGGGTGGGGGTGTTTGCTGCCGCCCACCCTCATTCCATCCCTCCTACTTTTGGTCCAGAGAGAACCCTCCCTGAGGCTGCATGTCTACCCTCTAGTGTCCTTTGATAAGTAACTTGTACAAAATGAGGTGATAACAAAACATTGGTAAGTGTCTTGACCGTATGTTAATACTTGAAATAGAATCTGACATATAAAAATAACAACCCTAACAGACCAAACTCATTCCAGTTAGCTGACGGTCAGCCGTGTGTAGGTGTGATGCCATGGTGACTGTCGAGGAGCAGGTGTAAGTGGCGTTTCGGTGCACCTTGTTGGGGGGCCTGCAGGATGGGCCTCCCTCAGTGCTCACACCCAGACCTCGCCACCAGTCCCTCAGGCACAGTCCAGATGTCCGAGTTGCTCTCGGCCAGGACTCGGCGCTGAGCAGCTGGTGACATCAGGGCGCCCGTGTGGCACGGCTCCAGTGCTTTGTGCGTCCTCTGGCTCCTCCCTTCCCCGCTGTGGGTGTGTTGTGGCTGCCGAGGCCCCCAGAGCTACGGGCTGCCTGGCCCTGGACCCTAGGGCTTCAGACACCATGCTGCACAGCACAGCCAGTGTGAGGGGGCTTCCAAAAGTTCGTGGGGAAAACCCATTCCATTTCTCCACGAAGGTTTGGGGGCCCCTCTGTCCTTCCTGAGGCCTCGGGGTGGGAGCAGGCAGTCAAGGCTTAGACGGGGTTTTGGCCACACACTGGGTAACAGGTGGAGCTGCCGTGAAGCTTGTCCCTTGTCACTTTACCTGTGGTTACTTGGGTTACATTCTTGTTAGTCAGAGGAAGAAGACAGATACAAATTCTATTAGAAGTCCCGTGGAGAGACAAGTGTCAAACGGATATACGCGGAATACTGTCAGAAGCTTGCTTTCTGGAAGCTTAGATACACACGTGCTTCTTGGAAGAAGGCTGGTGCCCCTCTCAGACCGGGGGCGGGGAGTACAAGACCACTGAGTTGTAGTCTGGGGGAGGGCAGCAGCATGTCATGTCTGTCCCCAGCTCCGAGTTGTCGCAGGGGAAGCGGCAGCTGCCTCTGGGGAGGTGTCCACAGCTGGAGGAGCAGAGGTTCGGCCTGGGGAGCTCAGAGAGGCCCGACTCCTTGCTCTGGCTACTCACCTTCAAGCTTGACAGACAGAAACAGACAATGAGACAACAGCAAAAACCTGTCACATGGACAAGTGGGTTTCTTAGCAGGCCACGTTTTTCAAGCCTGTACCAGGGCGAATGGCGAGCAGCCCTAGTGCCATCTCCCATCAGACTGCCCTTGTTCCTTGTTCTCGGCTGCACACCAAACCAGACCCTGCTGGCTTTGACTGGATCCCAACTCATAATGACTCCCCACCCACCCACCCATAGGGCAGAGTTGAGTTATACCATGATACTGCTAAGGCTGTCATCTTTATGGGAGGAACCCTGGTGGTGCCGTGGTTAAGCACTCTGCTGCTAACCAGAAAGTCAGTGGTTTGGATCCACTAGCTACGCCAAAGGACAAAGGTGAGGCAGTCTGTCTCTGCAAAGTCAGCAGCCTTGGAACCCCTGTGATGTACTTGGACTCGGTCCATACGGTCTGTAAGGAAGAATCAACCGGATGGCAGCAGGTTTGGCTCCCTCCCTCACTGAAAACAAGTTGTTGTTACGGGCCGTGGAGTCGGTTCCGACTCATCGTGACCCTGTACAGGGTTTCCGAGGCTGTAAATCTTTACGGGAGCAGAAAGCCTCATCTTCCGCGGAACAGCTGGTAGTTTCGAACTGCTGTCCCTACGCTACCAGAGCTCCTTGATAGCAACCAAAAATTCAAAGCAGAAAATGACTGAGTCACAAAATGAGGGCATAGAAGCTGGGCTGCCAGTGAGAGGGGAAGCCGGTCATCCCACTGGGAAGACTGGTTCTAGGAGAGCATAGCAAGGGCTTGGTCTCCGAGAGCAGGATGCGATTTATGGTTTCCCTTTCTCACCAAAACGGGAGAAAGTGACCATGCGTTCTCAAGAGGTGCCAGAAAAGGAAGTGGGCGAGAGCACAGTGCCCAGCGCTCCGTCCTACCCTGTCATTCCTCACGGGCGTCCTCTAGCTGCTAGGGCCAAGACTGGGGGTGTGTGACTGTCTTTGTGTGACAAGGAAACATGCATGCAATGTTTGCTGGAGAGGTTCTTGTCATTCCTTTTACTTGTGCTGGAGGAACTGTGCTAACTCTGGTAAGCCCAGCAAATGCTGGCAGAAACCTGCCAGAGGAGGAAAATGCAAATCTGTTCCATGAACACAACAAGAGGAAAGGGGTAAGATGCACCCTGTCAAAGGCGGAAATCTTGTGAGACAGAAAAACATGGCGGTCCCGTTGAGTTCTGGTTCTCACAGTGTTCAGTTCACTGCCTTATCTTCTGCTGGCATTGGCTGCCATCTTTGATTTTGATGAATGACAACTTTATTGGGATACAATCCACATATACCACACAACTACGTAAAGGAAGCGATTCAGTGGTTTGTGACAAGGAGAGTCACTAAGTTGTGCAGCTACCATCGCTGTCAACTTGGAGAATATTTCAAAATTAAGACCCAACCCAGACCCACTGCTACAGAGTCGATTTCGACTCATAGTGAGCCTTCAGGACAGAGCAAAGCTATTGCCGCAGGGTTTCCAAGACAGTGGTGCTTCCTGGGGGCAGCGTCATCTCTCCCTGACCTTTCAGTTAGCAGCCTTACACTGAGCCCACTGGACCACCAGGTACCCTTCAGATACCCCAGGACACCATTTTTTCCTGACTTCTCCCTTCACCCACCCCATCCACTGCTCAGAGAATAGGCACCCTGTCTCCTTACTCAATCTTCAAGGCGGACTTGGACTTGCTCTCAGTCCAGGTGAAGCGCTTCAGCACCGGGGAAACTAGCAGGGTGCTGCTGTCCATGTGGTAATCCTGGCAGAACAGAAGACAGCAGCTATTAACACTTCCTGCTCTGACCCAACCAATCTACCCCATGGCTGCGGAGTCGGTGCCACCGGCGCACACAGCAGAACTGCCCCAGAGGGTCTCCGAGACTGACTCGCTGTGTCTCCCTCTCTCCCCTACTACACACCTATGTACAGTGAGGTTCATATGTAACTCTCTCTGTATATATGTGTGTGTGTGTTTATGTGTATACATATGTATGTATCTCCACTCGTCTGTCAGTTTGCCATACTGTTGTGGCTGGTCTGTTGCCAGGCTAGAAGCTATGCCAATGGTGTATCAAATACCAGCAGGGTCACCCATGATGGGCACATTTCAACAAAGCTTTCAGACTAAGAACAGATTAGGACTAGATGGTCCACTTCTGAGGGATTAACCACTAGAAACCTCATGAATAGCAGCGGAACATTGTCAGTACAGTGCCAGAAAATGAGCCCTTCAGGTTGGAAGGCACTCAAAATATGAAGAGCTGCCTCCTCAAAGTAGAGTCGACTTAATGATCAGGACAGAACAAAACTTTCAGGACCTTATTCATGGGCACAACTCAGAATGAGGAGAAACAATAATCCAAATGTGGAATGTGCAAAATATGAATCTAAGAAAATGAAAAGATGTTAAAAAAAATGAAATGGAATTTATAAAGACAGGTGGTGGCCATCTTGAATCAGACAATCACATGGTTTACTATGCCAAGAATGATGACAAAGTCAAGAAGAATGGTATTGCATTAATCGTCATAAAGAACATATCAAGATCTATCTTGGAGTACCATGGTGTCTGTGATAGGATAATATCCCTACACCTACAAGGAAGACCAGTTAGTGCCACAATTGTTCAAATTTACACACCTATCACTAAAGCCAGCGATGAGAAACTGAAGAATTCTACCAACTTCTTCAGTCTTGATCAAACACGCAATTAAGATACATTGATCGGTACTGGTGATTGGAATGCGAAGGTTAGAAACAAAGAAAGATTAGTAGTTGAAAGATATGGCCTTGGTGATAGAATCGATACTGGAGATCACATGGTAGTATTTTGCAAGACCCATGCCGCCTTCATTGTGAAGACCTTTCTGAAGACCAGCCACTGCCAACACCTATTGCCCTCTAGCTACCCTCGTCTGGAGTTTATGCTTCCGTGACTTCCGGAAAAGGGCTCTGCAAGGAGCTGGGAGTAAGTTAGCTTCATTACTCACATCAAGGAGGGAGGTGCCATTTGGTGAGAGTTCTTCAAAAGTTTTGATTCTTTCCAGGCTCATGAATTTGAAAGCATTTACGTATCTAAGAAGAAGTAGAAAGAAGAATGAAGACCAGGAAATACATCAGTTTTGATGCGTGAGGAGACCACAGACACTGTCCTGGTGAATCACCTAACTCCTCTAGGACTGAAATACTCTGCTGGTGTCCCTCTAGGGACCCTGACAGTGATGCCGGTTTCCATCATGGGTGCCAAGCCCAGCGAGACCCTTGGGACAGTCATGCTTACGTCTCTGTGCTCTTGCGGAATCCGAAAAGCAGGTCTAGTTGAGACCAGAAGCATCATCTGGTCTAAACATCGTCTGTTACAAAGAAGAGAAATGATGCCCGGAGAAGTGATGTGACTTTCATCCTTTGTGCTGCCTACGAGGCTGTGAGTGGCGCTGAACAACCTCTCCATCGGATTTCGTGGCATAATGGAGTTCTAGGGCCTGTCTTGTTTATTGTGTTCTGTGGTTACAGGTTGGGAAGAATGGGTAGCATTTGTGGAATTTCCCTGCAACCTTCCACTGATGATGCATCAGGAAGGACATCTGCCCCGTCCACTGCATGGCCAATAGTTGAGGTTTGTTCTCTGTTGGGTGAAGTTGGGTACCACCTTCTGCAAGGGCCAGTTTCTCAGACAAGTACCCTACTGGGCTCAAAGCTGAGCACCATACTGGAAGGACCCAAATATATTTGATTCCTCCAGCCCTCATCAGAACCGGCCCAGTCAGACTCTGCTAATTTATTTAATCCAACAAACACATCTCTGTTGGAAGAAGTACAGTCAAATGCTCCTTAGTAAGGAAACTTCGTCTCTCGTACTTCGGACATGTTATCAGGAGGGATCAGTACCTGGGGAAGGACATCATGCTCGGTAAAGTGGAAGGTCATAAAAAAAGAGAAAGACCCCCCAACGAGATGGATTGCCACAATGGCAGCAGCGATGGGCTTAAGCGTGGCAACAGTGTGAGGAGAGTGCAAGACCGGGCAGGGTTTCCTTCTGTTGTGATATTGTTAGGTGAGTTGGTACCTAACAATATCAACACCAAGTTTCCTCACCTTTAAAATATGGTGATTCATCTGTTAGTATTGACAGACATCTACACAGGCTTTGAAGAAATCTAGTGGCTAGCCCAGACACGTGGTCATGGATTACAGCTCAGTATGAGCAGTGGACTGGCTTGTAATCCGTTACCACCAGCCAGATTTCTTAGTTGTTTTCATAGATGTGCCCCGATAATTTTCAGAGCACTACATCTCTTCCCCGGCCACTTGCCTAGTTGAAGTGAACAAAGAACAAAGGCCTAGGGTTGTGTCTGCTGAAGGTCAATCTTACAAGACAGTATGAAGAGGCTCCTGACTGCAGAGGGTAGACGGAGGCAGTGTGAGAGCATCTGGGTAAGAAACTAGTCTGCCGTTTTCTAGTCACACAAAATTGAAAAGCCAGGCAGTTCAAACCCACCAGCCACTCTGGGAAACCCTATACAGGGTTGCTGTGAGTCAGAAGGCACTTATCAAAAACGCTCCTTGGAACACGTTTGTATATAACGTATTGTCTCCATTGGATTGCTTTAAGCAATAAAGGAATTAATGTCTGCAGAGAGCCAGCACCGTGTCCAAACCATGGCACGTGCAGGTGTGGATTTAACCCATGCATGACCACTATTATTTAGGGTAGGAGGTACTCGATATGTGGGGGCACTCGGTGTTTAGCCCCATGCTCCTCTGGTTACTGGCAGGAATGTGAGACATGCTAGTTTGTTCAATAAGGGCGGGTAAGTGGGGAAGCCAGTGTTTTGAGTTTGATGGGTTAGTTTTATCAATGAGGCATTAGAAAATTGAGGTCACAGAAAATAAAAGGGGAAGGAATGTTCTAGAGTGAAATAGATTAAGGAAACATGTTAATCTTTATTGGATGCGGTTTTAAAAATAAAACAAAACTAAAGATTTTTGGAAAATTATGGTAGATTGAATTGTAGATTGTTGTGTTGTGAAGTGCCATTGAGTCAGTTCTGACTCATAGCGACCCTGAAGAGGGTTTCTAAGGAGCAGCTGGTGGGTTTGAACTGCCAACCTTGTACCCTGCAGTGCCACACCAGGACACTCATGAATAGTAGTAAGATGAAGGAGTTATTATTGATGTGTTTGGCATGATCGTTTTTGGGTGGGAACACTCTGTAGGGTAAACACTGGACTTTGAATCACAAGGTTGGTGGTTTGAGACCACCAGCTGCTCTGTAGGCAAAAGATGAGGCGTTCTGCTCCCGCTAAGATCTACAGCCTCAGAAATCCTATACGGGGTCACTATGAGCTGGAACCGACTCCACAGCACACAACAACAACAAAGAAGGCCCTTCTTTAAAGTTTTCTTCCAAAGTAGGAAGAAAGTGTCTTGCTTGACACTTGAGTCCCTCTTCCAAAGGGTTCAGTGAAAAGAAAAAATATACATGCACATACATATGGGAGGCTTCAAAAAGCGCATAAAGATAAAATATGGCAAAAGATAAGTGACAGTTCAGTTGCTGAGGTGACCATCTGAATCCTCGTCATAAACTATCCCTTTCTATATGTTTGAGAACTTTCAACATATGATTGAGAACAGCAAAGAGAATTCTCACCTGACATCGTCGGAGCTTCCAGAGTGGAATTTGGGATCGGAACCATCTTCCTGGAAGAAGTGGTCCGCGAAGCCAGGTGTTGAGTACGTAAACCCACTACTTGCTCTCAGGATGGAGTTGAGGGGGATGTAGTCCTTCCCACCCTAAAACACCAGAGAGAGGGCTCTCATGCATGGAATTTCCCATGAAACCATTTCTGTGGAGCATCCTAACATCTTTGCACCATCCTCACAACCTTGGTTGCGATTTAGGATGCGCTCAAAGACAAGCACTGGACTGCAAGGTCGGTTTGAACCGCAAGGTCGGTGGTTCAAATTCACCAGTCGCTCCTCAGAGACCCTATACAGGTTCAGAATGAACTAGATGGCATTTTAACAACAACAACAAAAGATAGAAATGCTGCTTTTTCTCTTATTTTTTCAGACAGCTGATCTCAGCTATTCTGTGAATGGTAAAAACAAAACAAAAAACGAACCAACCACCACCCTGACTTAAAAAGGGCGTTTGGTCTCCACACGCTCCAGACAAACTTCACGTCACCTGTTGCACGTTTGCTTGAAGCAGGTCCCCAAGCTTCTCCACAAGTTCGGCAAATCTTGGCCTTTCTTTGGGGTTTTTGTGCCAGCAGTCCAACATAATCTGATAGCTGTTGAGGTCAAGCACAAGAGGGTGAGCTGGAGATCCGGAACATTCCACAGGCGGCCCCACCTCGTGTCTGGGTGTGCTCCTACTAATAACAGTTAATAGAGTCATGTGCCACACCAGCACATAGAAGGTCCTGCTGAGAGTGCAAACCATTCATCTACACAGGCAGCGGAACAAATCCGTCCTCCAGAGTCTGTCAGCACCCCAGGCTTTGGGAGTGCCTTCAGTCTCTGCAAGGAGTCCTGGTGGCACGGTGGGTTAAGCATCAGGCTGCTCACAAGGTCAGTGGTTCGAACCCACCCACTGCTCCATGAGAGAACAATGAGGCTGTCTGCTCCCGTAAAAGATTGAGAGTCTGGGAAACCCTGTGGGGCACTTCTACTCTGTCTGATGGAGTCTCTAGGAGTTGAAATCGACTTGACAAGGAGGCACTGGCGTTCTTCAGACAACCTTCCATTCATCCTGTGCATAAAAAATGGGCTTACACCTAACAGTTGTAAGGATGGCACAGGACCAGGCAGTGTTTCAACACCTCCTCTGAGTTTATAGACCTTCAGGTCTGGACGTGCACCCCACCCAGGTGGCACCTGGACCTGGACCCGAGAGAAGGACGAGTCCTCAGTTCTGGGGGAGAAGCTGATTTGCAACGTTCTTAAAACTCAGAAGGAGCTTTGTGACGTGCCTCCTCAGCAGGCAAGAGTTCAAACCTTCAGACCTGGGAAGACGATGGAGCAAACCTGGTTTGTTTCAGCCTTGGGACGGAAGGTCTAGGGAAGGTTCAGAGGGTGGGGAGGGGCACTGGCCTGAAGTTGGCCTAAAGCATGCAGTGCTCTTGGGAACTAGGGTGATGGCTTCAAGAAGGGCTGTTGGGTGGACAGCAGAGGTGTCTCCTTACTTGATAAATCTGTTTCCTTACTGATGTAAGCTGAGTGACATGGAGTCGCTGGTCTCTCACCCAGATCCTGTTTGATCACATAGGCGTCTTTCAAAAAGGGACTAAGAAATGAATATCCTGATTTCTGTGGGGTTTTTTCCTCCCCTTCTCCTTTGGTGTTTGTTGAGATGAAATGCATTAATTTTTAAGCAAAAGGAGTGGAAACTAGATGTCAGAACTCAAGAATCAACAACTTCAGAAAACATCAAGTAGTTCTAAGTATAGCCTCATATGCATGTGAAAGTTGGACTATGAATAAGGAAGACCATAGAAGAATCGATACATTTGTTATGGTGTTGGAGGAGAGTATTAAAGGTACCGTGGACTGCCAAAAGAACACACAGATCTGTGTTGGAAGCAGTGCAGCCAGAATAGCGAGACTTTGCCTCTCATACTTTGGATATATGATCAGGAGTGACCAATCCCTGGAGGACACCGTGCTTAGTAAAGTGGAAGATCAGTGAAAAAGAGGAAGATTCCCAACGATACGGCTTAGCACAGTGGCAGTAGCAATGGGCTCAAGCAGAGGAGCAACTGTGAGGATGGCGTAGAACCCGTGGTGTTTCATTCTGTTGTACACAGGGTCACTATGATTGGAGCTGACTTGAGGGCACCTTACAACAAGAAGTTGTAGGTGGTCCCTGTTGCTAGTTCTAACATTAGGAGCTGGCGAGAGCCCCACACACAGGGGGGACCCCCAAAAGCCGCCTGCTCAGTGGCGAGAGGACAATGCTGGTTGGGATCGTCCCGGGCGGGGTTCTGCCTGATGAAATGCTTTCTACTCTCGCAGCCTCTTTGGTTGCTAGGCTCCGCTGTGGGCCAGGCCTGTCTTGCTTCGGCTACTTTTTGTAGGCTACCTCTCTATACTAGGAGCCCTGGTGGTGTTGTGGGTTAGTGTCAGGCTGCTAAAAGGCCAGCAGTTCGAATCTACCAGTCACTCCATAGGAGAAAGAGGAGGCTTTCTGCTCCCGTAAAAATTTACAGCCTCAGAAACCCTATAGGGGGCGCTGTGAGTCCGGACCAACTCCACAGCACACCACCAGCACCACCTCTCTCTGTTTAATGCTTATATTCCAGCAGCCTCCAAGAATCTGTTTATTGCTAGGGATTTGGGGGAACAGACATGAAGGTTTGCTGCAGTGACCTGCCCCCAATTCGACCTCACACACACACAACACAACACTGCCAGGTCCTGCGCCATGCTGACGATCGTTTGCAGACTGCACCGTTGTGAGCCATGAAGTTTTCAGAACTGAGTTTTTAAAGCAGATCCCCAAGGCTTTCTTCAGTTCAGCATCAAAGCAACACACAGGCAAACCTCCGTGGACAGCTGGGTGGGGGCTAGGTACCAGGTGCCTGGGTTGGGAAGCAAACCCTAGTCTCCACGTGAAGCCACCTGACTCTGCTCACTGCCTGCTGAGTCCCTGTGGGAGGAAGGCCTGGGGGAGGGATTCTGCTCCTGGAAAGGCGACAGCCAAAGTAACCCGATGGGCCATTCTGCCTGGTCACCTGGGATTGCTCTGAGTTGAAAAGCAACTCAAGGCTCCCAACAACCACACCCATAACACTCAGAGGCTTCCTGTCGTATTCGTATTCACACCCTGCTTCTCGAGGTTGCTGGGGACTTCAGTTGAGACGATATGGGGGAGCTGCATGGAAGGCACTCGGGTGCACTGTAATCTCTGAACATCTGGTGTCTGCTGCGGTCACCATGCAACAGGGACTCTACAGCCCAAATGGTGTCCTGGGGAGGGACCTGGCTCTGTTCCTGGCTCCAAGAAAGGGCCTTGCCCCACGTTCCCTGAATGCTCCTGAGAGGGACACCCGGCAAGTCTGAGTAGAACTTGCCTCTCCAGCGTCTCATCCTGGGTCCAACCTAGCCCGGCCTGGGAAGACACTGGGCCATGGCCACGCCCACTTCCTCCCTTCTGACTCCTCCCCGAAGGCCATCCCAGAGCTGATAGGACCCCGCTGGGTCAGGGAGGGGATAGGAGGGAAGGGTGGCCAGTTCAGGGAAGGTGGTGCTGTGTGAATCCTAGTCAGCAGCTCAGCAAACCCGCCAGAATCATCACATTCCTGCCGGGCCTTCAGGGGCAGCCCATCCCCGAGGGCCTCGGGACACACACCCAGGAGAGGGTCACCGACTGGGATTTGATTCCGACTTGATTTGATTCCGACTCTTATCGACCCCACACGGTGAGAGCGCAAAACTGCCCCGGAGGGCTTCCTGGACCGCTGTCTTCTGCGCAGCTCTTGATGGGCTCACACTGCCGGCCTTTTGTTTGGCAGCTGAGCGCTTAACCACTGTGCCACCAGGGCCCCCTACTCTAATAGTAACTCGCCCCCGTTGGAAGAGAGCTTTCGGGGCACAGATGTTCTCGGTGACTTTGGAGAACTCTTGTCACTGGTGTTTGGAGGCTCGTACATGCATCCTTGTCACTCTGAAAGAGGAATCTCTCCCATCTGCCCCAGGGCAGGCCTGTTACTGTCAAGTGGACTCTGACTACGAGTGTCCCTGTGGGGCACAGTAAAACTGCCCTATAGGTTTCTTTACAGAAGCAGACAGCCTCATCATTCAACCTTGGAGAAGCTCATGAGTTCGAACCACTAACTTTGTGGTTTGCAGACCCACCGCTCTAAAGGAATTGTGTTTTCCTTGTGGCCTCTGTGGAAGATGGTGGTGGCCCCTTGCGTGTCCAGGCCATGCCCCTGGCCATCCAGGATCAGCAGTGGCCCCCAGCCCTTCATCTGGCTGCTACTTCACCCATTTGGCTCTGCTTTCCAGGGCCAACCCTGGGTCTTGGGTTCTGTCCCCCTGTGATCTGCTTGTTTAGTCTGGATCCCTAACCCGCATCAGAAGCTCTGCCTTCCACAGTCATGCTGGGTGGAGCGCTCTGTGCCTACCCACTTTCTCCCAGCCTCTCTTGGGGGCCACAGGCGCTAAGCAAGTGCAGCCCTGAAGACCAGGAGATCACTGTCAGAATGGGTTCTACATAGTAGCGGCCCTGTGGGAAGTGTCCCAGTGGGAGAGCACTGTGAGGAGGAGATGAAGGGACCAGGGGTCCTCACTCACATTTCTGGAGTTGCATATTCAGGTGCCCGCATCCTCATCCCTTCCTTCAGGCGGCTGCAGAAATCCTCGTCCATCTGCACCCCCGGGTACGGAGACCCACCTGTGAGAGACACGTGTTGTCCTCAGGACACAAAAAAGACCACAAGGGGGCAACTGGTGTCAACAATGCCTGGTGCCTGGAGTGGAGCCCAGTGGACAGAGAGACGCACATGGCTGTTTGCTGGGTGTCTGATGCCTCAGGCTACGGTGTCATCTGGGGGTGTCACTTCTCTCCCCCTACAAATCGACTCTGAAGAAGTCCCACCACGAGAAACTCATTTCTCGGGTTAATAGACTTCTTCATGAGCCAGCACACATGGCAGACACTGCATGCAACATTCACATCTTGGTGCGAATATTGTGAGAGGAGCCACTTCTGGTCAACTTCTTGCAGAACTGGGGGGCTTGGAAATATGATGTATCTGAAGGGGGAGGGGGCCCTTGGTGTGGGTCGGTGCCCGAGGGGATTGGACTTGGCCTTGGGCCGCTTCACTGTCCTGGAACCCTGCAATCTCTCCTTTCAGGGGCTGTTGGAAGTGGAGAAGTGCTCTAGCCCACAGGCCCGTCTCTGTCTGCATTTGTTTGTCTGTGATTTGCAGTGACCACGGCTGGTAGGAAGCAGCTGTGAGGCGAGCGGTGCCGGCACTGTGTCACCGCCAAGCTGCTTTCAAAGACTGGAAGCTACAGGTGCCTGTCATCGAAAGCAGAGGACTGAGCTCCACACGGTACAGGAAGCCAGAGATGTTACTGGGTGACTTTAACTGGTGGCCAAAGGCCAATTTCTGGCCAAGCCCAGCGGGCTCTTGTCTGGCAGGCGAGTTTGGGAGGCCTGTGAGCAGTGGTGGGCGTCGGCAGACAGATGTGGGCGCTGCACATCTGTGCACTTGGGGCCTGCATGTGTTGTGGCCCAGCTTTCAGTTTTGGAAAACACAGTGGCTGCCAAGCTGCTTTCTAAGGCTGAAGCTGTCGGCAGGTGCCTGTCATGGAACGGGACTCTGTCATGTCCGGAGAGCCCAGCACTGGGCATGCACAGGCCACTGGGCCTCTGCTTTGGGCTCTCTCTGTCCATCTCCAGGCTGCCCACTTACCCAAAGAGAAAATCTCCCACAGCAATACGCCGTAAGACCACACGTCGCTCTTGGTGCTGTAGATTTTGTCGAAGATGGACTCCGGGGCCATCCATCTCAGAGGCAGCCGAGTCTAGGAGAGGACAGGTAGCTTGAGCAGAAGGCCACAGAGACAAAGCACGGGCAACCTGGCCTCACACCGTCATCCCCCAGAGAAAACGAGTCATGTGCAACATTATGCTACAAGGGGGAGCCGTGGGGGGCTTGACAAGGTTCATGAAAAATGGAATGGAATGGTAATGGATTTTTTCCACCAAGTTTTTGAAGCCCCCTCATCGGTGTTCTACCAATTCCTAAGAAGGTGATGGTCTCAGTACCTCTTAACTCTCTGAGCCTGTCAGAAACCCTTCTCCCAACAAAAGCGTGTACTCCACAAACTCCCACTGCCTTGGAGTCGATTCTGACTCATAGCGACCCTATAAGTCTTCACGGAAGCAGACAGTCATCAATGCTTAACCCACTATGCCACTGCTGGTAAGTGCCATCGGGTCAGTTCTGACTGGTGGTGGTTGTGGTGTTACACCATGGAGTCGGTTCTGACCCATGGTGACCCTGCATAGGGTTTCCGAGGCTGTAAATCTTCACGGGAGCAGAAAGCCTCATCTTTCTCCTGTGGAGCAGCTGGTAGTTTCAAACTGCTGACCCTGAGGTTAGCAGCTCGACTCATAACCGCTATGCTACCAGAGGGTTACCGAGGAGCAGCGGGTGAGCTTGAACCACCAACCTTTCTGTTCAAACTGACTCTACAGTCCAGCACAGTAACCCTCAGCACCACACCAGGACTCCACTGCGCCACTAGGACACTTCAAAAACCCAAACCAAACTTGCTGATGCCAGGTTGAGACCAACTCCCAGAGACGCTATAGGACGGCGTAGAGCTGCCCCATAGGGCTTTCAAGAATGTTATCTTTCCAGAAACACACTACCCCATCTTTCTCCCACAGAGCGGCTGACGGATTCAAACCACCAATCTTGTCATTAGCAGACCCAACGCTTAACCCACTGCATGACCAGGGCTTCTCTCCAGAGTCACTTGTTAAATGCTGTGGAGTTGGTCCCGACTCATTGTGACCCTGTATAGGGTTTCCAAGGAGCAGCTGGTGGATTTGAACCGCCAATCTTGCGGTTAGCAGTCCAGTGCTGATCCTACAGCACAACCAAGCACTCCACAGAGCCACTTAGGGCCTGGAAAAGAGTGATGTGCACCAGAAACCATCCGAAGAATCCGTGATTCCCGTGAGAATTTAAGGAGGAATCCTGAAGGGCGTGCTGACACGCAGACAGAGGCATGTCAGGGTCAGTGAGTGGGCCGGTGACAAAGGCACTGGGAAGAAGAGAGGGACAGTGAGCAAGAGGCCAAATTTAGGAGAACGGATGGTTGCTTTTCAAGTGTCCAGGCAAATCTCCCTTTATATTCAGACAGGAGACACCCCAGGGAGAAAGGTCTTGCCACGTTTGGTGGGTGTGAAGGAGAAAGGTGGAGCCATGTTGAGATTTTGGGAGAACTACAGGTGGGAGGCTGGGAGAGAAAGGGCCATGCTGAGGACTCCCAAGTAGGACTGCTTTTGTTGGCGCTGTTTTCCAAGTATGGTCCTGAGACGAGCCGTCTCAGCCTCACCTGGAAACTTAGAAATGTACCTTCACAGGCCCTATGCAAGACAGATGGGCAGAAGCTCAGGTGATTCTGAGGCACCACACGCTCAGGTAGGAGAATCACCCCTGCAAAGTCATCTTCAGGGCCTGGACATAAGCTGACAGCCTCCGGGTACAGGCCAGATAGGAGAGGACACAAGAGGTCACCCTCAAAAGTGAAAAATAACACTGTGTCCAAAAACAAGCGAGGCAGACGCCAGTGTGAGCCGGCAGGGACAGGCGAGGCCTGGAAGGCAGCTGTGGGAGGCAGGCCGCTTCCTCCCCCACCCCTTCCTGAGACACAGCCACCTGCTGAATCAATCATCTGGGTGGATTCGAGGGAAGGGTCCAGTCTGTTCCCTCCGGATGTTGAGGGGACTCCCCCCAGGAGCCAACGGGAGGTAAAAGGTATGACCTCCCGCACCCACAGAACGCTTCTCAGAGGGGCAGCGCAGTGCAAGGACCGGCCCCCCAGGAAACAATGGCCTTTCTGTACCCTTCTGTACTCGAGGGGTCTCTGGTAGGCAGCCCGGGTGGACAGCTTGTCTTCACAGAGAGTACACGAGGTTCCTCAGGGCCCACTGCTGAAGAAGTGTCAGTATTTACCAAGGTTTAAAGACGAGAGCCTACTGTTGAGTCAGGTAGGCATCAGACTTACATCGCCTTTCCTCACATAATCAGGGTCCTTATAAATGTCTCGGGCGAGGCCAAAGTCGCAGATCTTCACCACGTGGTTTTCAGATAAAAGAATGTTGCGCGCTGCCAGGTCCCGATGGATGCACTGCAATGGAACAGGTGCGTCATCAGTGAGGTCCCTAATTATACCATCTAGTTTCCTCTGCTTCCTCAAGGCCACTCCTCAACTCCAGGGCTCATTCACATGGTGTGAAGGAAGCTACTGTATGTGAACATGGGGTCACCAGAGTGTGAGGCGCTTCATTACAAACAGACGGCTCTTGAGGCCTCAAAGTCCAGAGATGCCCTAGATCTGGGTGATGCTACTGTTCTGAGGTCCAGTCTCCTGACCCACCAACCCGCCAAGCCGAGGTTTCCAGTGAGCACAACTTCCCTGCAGTCTGGACTGCTAAACTGCTGAGGTCTGAACTCTATCCGGCTGCAATTTCACGGGAGGGCTCCAAGTGGATGTAATGCCCCCTAATTCCTCACTTACAACACTGTCATTACCTGACGGTTCACAGTTATGATAATAGTACTTAGAAATCTATCATCCGACTTATTTGCACATTGAGGATGTATGTTTGGCAGTAACGAGTTGACAGCTGAGAGGAATGCTGGCTATGACCATTAAGGTTAGGTGTCCACGATCCTCAGTGGTTTCCCGGTTATGGAATGATGGCATTTGGCAGTTATGTAATGACATCGTATGGCAGTTATGTGATCTGATGTGGCAATCTCCAGTTTTGAGTAATGCCGATAGTGTGTGTAGTCTTTGGAACCTGACCAAACTGATAAGTAAGAAGTGGGTGTCAGAGAAGCTCTCCCATGCACTTCTGTGTTCTGAGAATCCAGCCAGTTTGGAGCATATGTCAGACAATATGGAGAATGGTCCTAAACCATTGTGTGCCCACTGGAACACTAGACTCGTCATTCTGAAAACCTGAGGCCTCTATGGCAATTTGACAGCATACCGGTATGTGCTGTGATGTTTACTCTGTATTGAAAAACCTAGCTATAAGCAAATACTAGTAAGAGTGAATTGAGCCAGCAAAGGTGTGTGTTCGTTCCATGGGAATAACTACATGCCTAAACCGGGCCAAGAAGAGGAACAGTAAAACGCAAGACTGACCTTTCTGGAAGACAAAAACTCCATGCCTCTGGCCACTTGAAAACTATAGGAAATTAGATCTTCCATGGTGATGGGCTCCTTGTAGAAATCGTCCGGATCTGGAAACCATTAGAACTGTAACTCTTTCGCAATGGCTCTTGGTATTTCACCAAATCCCAGTTTATTGGAACAGTGTTAGCAAAACATAAAACACACCAACAAGTGGCTCCGGGTTCACTTTCAAGAGCATTCGGGTTTCAACATGAACATCAGAGATTTTTCCAGGCTTCCAGCCCATTTCACTCAAACACAGAGTATGTGTCGGGGGAGTTTGAGGGTGGGGGTGGAAATAATCCATTGAGACAAGAAGGCCCAAGGGAAGGCACTTGTACAGTTCCCTGTCAAAATTAGTAACTCTGTAAATAATCTTAATTCAAATCTTATCTCCTCAGGACATTATCCTGCGAGTCTCCCACGGATGTTTATTAGGGTGATAAATAAAGAAAAAAAATGCCAGAGATGCACAGTATGTTGTAAACATATCTCTGGCTGTAGGACAGGAAGGGACGAATACCTACCCTCCTCTTCCTCCACATCACTCAGACTTTTCTCTTCCTGGAACCCTGAGCTGGCGAAGCTCTCGTGGCTGCTGACACTATCCAGTCGTGGTTTCTTGTCTTGCTCCAGCTCTGGCGCCGAGTTTTCGTTCTTTGACTCGATGTGCAATGCTGCGTCCTAAAACAGACCAAGAAGGGCACAGAGGAGATGCTGATAGGTTTCTTGTGATACAATAGTGAATAATTGTTATCAGGACTGATTGTAAGGGCTGGAAATGTAAAGGTAGATGTTTTATAGCAAGGAGGGGAGTGATTAACTTTTCAGTCTAGGAGCGGAGGGCCCTAGGACCATCAAAGGAGAAGAGCAGAGAGCGGGACCCTACCCAGAGAAGCAATGATGCCAGAGATGGAGGTAGAGACAATGACGTGGGGAGATGGAGCGGCTGGGGACTTTGGACCCGGAGAGAGAGAGGGGCGGTATGCTGACAACCTTTGGTTGGTGGATGATGCATGGAAGGGATTTTAACCATGGCAATGAAACAATATATGACGGGATCAATGTGAAGCTGATGTCCTTCCATGTAAACTATCACATAATTCACAATAAAACATTAAAAAAACAGAAAGAAAAAAAAGGGGGGCCCCAGGATGGCAATGGGGAACCTGCTCCCGCAGGCTGGGGGCAGCCTCAGTTGGGAGAGCACGTGAGCAGCAAGGGTCCACTGGTGGCCCATCACCTTGTTACCGCCAGGGTCATGGGCCTATTAATGGCCGTCTCAACAAAGACTCAGGAGGTGGAAGAAACAATCATGGCGACACGTTGAACTGCGTGAGGCAGTATGTGCAGAACCCACCTTTCACACCGGCCTTCCAATAGTGCATTTGCCCGCAGCGCCACACCAGGACTCCAGTGTGGGACAGTGAAAAATGCGTCGGATGAAAGACTTGAGGGTGTGAGTTACTGGGTTTAAAAGCTCAGGGCCACAGTCTCCGGGGGTTTCTAGGTCAACGGGCATAACATAGTTTATGAAGACAGTAATCTATATCCATATTTGGTGACTGATATCTAGGCTCTAAAAAGCTTGTGAGCTTGAAGATATAGCTATTAGTCTTTCCTGTCTGGAGCAAAGGAGGGTGACAAAATCCAAGTCTCAAGGAAACAATTCATCCCCAGAACTAATGAATTACACAAACCACAACGTCCTCTAGCCTGAGACGAGAGGAACAACTAGATGGTGCCCGGTGAGCACTGCTGACCACTCTAACTGGGGGCACAATAGAAGGTCCTGGTGGTGGTTGTTACGTGATGTTGACTCAATTCCGATTCATAGTGACCCTCTGCACAACAGAACGAACCACTGTCCAGTCCTGGGCCATCCTCACAAGTGTTGTTACGCTTGAACACACAGCTGCTGCCACCGTGCCAATCTATCTTTTCTCTGAGCCTCCCCTTCTCCAGGGACTGGTCCCTCCTGGTAACATGTCTTAAATATGAGAGATCAACTCTGGCCATCCTGGCTTCTAAGGATCACTCTGGCTATACTCCTTCCAACACAGATCTATTTGTTCTTCTGGCAGTCCATGGTACCTTTAATATTCGTCTCCAACACCACAACTCAACTCCAATCATTTCTCCATTTATCATGGTGTTATTTATTGGTTCAGTGGTGAGGATTTGTCTTTACATAGAGATAGGATCCATACTGAAGGCTGTGGTTTTTGATCTTCACCAGTAAGAATTTTAAGTCCTCTTAGCTTCCAGCAAGCAAGTTTGGTATCATCTGCATATTGCAGGTTGCTAATGAGTTGTCCTGCAACCCTGATGCCACATACTTCCTCATACAACCCAGCTTCTCAGATTATTTGTTCAGCATACAGATTGAATAAGTATGATGAAAGATGATAACCCTGTCGCACACCTTTCCTGATTTAAAACCATTCAGTGTTCCCTTGTTCTGTTTGAACGACTCCCTCTTGGTTCGAACGACAGGTTCCTCGTGGCACAATTAAGCGCTCTGGAATACTCATTCTCCGCAATGTTGCCCATAGTTTGTCATGATCCACACAACTGAAAGCTTTTGTGTAGTCAATAAAGCACAGGTAAACATCTCTCTGGTATTATCTGCTTTCAGTCAAGATCTATCGGATGTCAGCAATGATATCCCTTGTTCCATGTCCTCTTCTGAATCCAGTTGAATTTCTGTCCATTCCTTATCGATGGATGGGTGCAGCAGTTTTTGAATCATCTTCAGCAAAATTTTACTTGCATGTAATGTTAATGATGTTGTTCAATATTTCCACATCCCACTGGGTCACCTGTCTTTGGAGGACACAAATATGAATCTCTTCTAATCATTTGTCCACGTAGCTGTCTTCCAAATTTCTTGGTAAAGATGAGGGAATGCCTCCAGTGCCGTATCAGTTTCAACTGGCATTTCAAATGGCATCTTGCCAATTCCTGGAGCCTTGTTTTACACCAATGCCTTCAGTGCAGCTTGGACTTCTGCCTTCAGTACCATCGGTTCTTGATCATAGGCTACCTCTTGAATGGCTGAATACTGACCATTTCTTTTTGGTACAGTGACTCCATGTATTCCTTCCATCTTCTTTTAGTACCTTTTACATCATTCAACATTTAGACCATAGAATCCTTCAGTATTGCAAGTGGAGGCTTGAAGTTTTTCTTCAACTCTTTTATCTTGAGAAATGCTGAGTCTTCTTCCGTTTTGATTTTCTAACTCCAAATCTTTGCACATTTCATTACAATACTTGACTCTGTCTTCTCGAGCTGCCCTTTGACATTTTCTGTTCAGCTCTTTTACTTCCTCTTTTCTTCCATTCGCTTTAGCATCTCTACACTGGAGAACCAGTTTTGGTCTCCTCTGACATCATTTTAGTCTTTTCTTTCTTTCCTGTCTTTTCATTGGCCTTTTGCTTGCTTCCTGTATAATGTACTTGAGATGGTCTCTAAATTCAGGTAGGATAAATTCAAAGTCACATTTTGGCTCTTGTGGACTTATTTAATCAACTTCAGCCTGAAATTGTCTATTCCCCAATCTGCCTTTCTATTCCCCAAATTATGAGCCTTTGATGGTCTATTCCCCAATCTGCCCCTGGCCTTGTGTTGGCTGATGATATGGAGTTTTCCACCATCTCTTCCCATATTAACAAGAGCAGTCAATTTGATTTCTGTGTATTCCATCTGGTAAGGTCCATGTGTGAAGTCACCTTTTATGTTGTTTTTTTTTAAATGTGCAATGAATAAGTTGTTGATTTTGCAAAATTCTATCATGCAGTCTCCTGAATCATTTCTATCATATTTTCCAACTATGGATACATCTTTTTTGTTTCCAACCTTCACATTCCAATCACCAGTAATTATAAATGCTTATTGATTACATGTTTGATCAATTCCAGACTGAAGTAGTTGGTAGAATTCTTCAATTTCATCCTCACTGGCTTTAGTGGTTGGTGTGTAAATTTGAATAATAGTGGGATGAATTGGTCATCTTCTAGGTGTACTTCAATAGACCCTGATATGTTCTTTTTGACAATGGATGGGATGCTATTGTCTTGACTGAACAACACTTACCAGCACAGAAAACCATAAGATTGTCAGAGTCACGATGACCAATCCCAGTCCATGGCAGCGCTTAAGGCCTAGGGCATCAATCTTCACGTGTTCCATTTCATATTTTTGACAACTTCCAACTTTTCTAGATTCATACTTCATACATTGCATGTACTGATTGTTAATGGATATTTGTAAAGGTTTCTCCTCACTTTGAGTTGTGCCCCATCAATAAATGAAGGTCCTGAGAGCTTTACATTCACGCCATCATGGTCACCTCTACTTTGAGGCAGCTCTTCCGCAGCTGTATTTTGAGTGCCTTCCACCCTGAGGGGCTCAGGTTTCGGCACTCTATCTGACAGTATTCTGGTGTTCTTCATCATGGTTTCATCTTCTGGCCCTATGTCTGACAATGTTTCCGTGCTGTTCATAAGGGCTTAAGTGGCGAAACATTCCAAAGTAGTCTTGCTCTCCTTCTTCCTAGCCTGTCTTCATCTGGTAGACAGCTGAACCCTGTCTACTGTGGGTGACCCTGCATCCAGCTTCCAGCATCGCAGCAACACGCAAGTCACCTCAGCACAACAAACCGACAGACGGGTGATGGAAGCCCCAGGCTACAATGCGATAAAAACGTCGAAGCCTCACACTGGGCTGACCGTGACTGCAAGACCTCCCTAGATCCCCTCTAAGACACCATTGTAAACTGGAACTGAAGCCATCCCCTGGGTCATCTTTCCGCCTGGCGTGTAAAGTAAACAGTGACACCCGTGAGTAACATGCTCCCTAGAACTATGAATGGCAACATTTACACCAAAACAAGGATGAGCAAAAGGAGGACAGCAGTGGAACTGGAGGGACGGAGTTGAGGGAGTAGGGACAAACATCATGGACCAATGTGTGCACGGATTGTTAAATGGGAGACAAGATTGCTAGGCAAACTGTCATACATAACATGACAAGGCGCTCAAGAAAAAGAAAAAGAGAAAATGTACTGGATGGGTGTTAGCAAAATGTTAGCCAAAGGAGCCCCCAGTGTGCTAGGGGGTCACTTTGGAATGACTTTGAGGAGTAAGCCATAGGTTCCCGGTTTCTCGGATTTCCCTGGGGAAAGAGCGAAGGTGAACATTTCTTTTTCTACCTCTCGTGTACAACACATTTCCAGCTTCCTCCTAATGACGGGCGAAAAAGAAAATGCCTTTCAGCCTGAATTGGGCAGTCAGCTCTTGGTTTCTAACCCAGTGACCTTGGGCAAGTCAACTTACTTTTCTGGATTTCATTTTCCTCATCTGATAAAGCTGTATCCTATTATTTTATGACTCAAAGGGAAGGAGTTGTTTCTGTGTATTTATGGAAAACCAGAGAAGTTTCTTATTGCCTTTAATAATTCCTCTAACAAGGACACTACTTCCTACTGCTAAGAGGTTTCATGGAGGGACCATGTGCCTAGTCTCAATTCTGCCAGAAGACAAAACAGAAAACAGGAGGGGTGCTACGGTTCAGAGGTGTTATGCATTGAACTGTGTCCCCCAGAAATATGTGTTGAAAACCTTAACCTCTCTGGCAGTGTAGTGGTTACAAATCGGGCTGCTAATCTCACGGTCAGCAGTTCAAAACTACCAGCTGTTCCACGGGAGAAAGATGAGGCTCTCTGCTCCCGTAAAGATTTACAGCCTCGGAAACCCTGTACAGGGTCGCTATGAGTCGGAACCGACTCCACAGCACATGACAACACCAACAAGGAGTCCTGGTGTGGCACTGTAGGATAAGCACTGGACGGCTAAACACAGGATCAGCAGTACAACGCCCCCAGCCTCTCCTCTTTACAAGCTCCCTAAGAGTTGGCGCTCACTCAGGACACTTAACAACAACAACAGCAAAAATACCTGTTTGGGGCTTTCTGTGTTATGTGAATGAGGCAGGATGAGTGCAGGGTGTCAATCTCCAGAAAGACACAAAAGGGGCAGATTAAGCAAGCCAAGATGGGGAAGAGAAATGGCAAGCCCCGTGGAGGTTTCCAAGGAACCAAAAAACCAAAGCTGAAGTCCTGAGAACCTTCCCACAGAGTGAACAGAGAGGAAAAAAACCCTATGCTGAGAGCAGGTACCCTGAATTCCGACTTGTCCTCTTAAACAGTGAGGCGATGCATTTCTCTTGGATAAAACGTGGGGTATTTGTGTTACAGGAGCAAGGGCAGTGGTTCAAACCCATCAGCCGCTCCTCTGAAATCCTCTACGGGGTTGTTATGGGTTGGAATCGACTTGACAGCTCTGAACAGCAGAGTGGTATTTCTTGGTTCGCCTGCAGGGTGTGGCCGTCTGAGGCTTATCTAGACTCTCCATCCTTCCTTGGCTTTTCCTAGAAATACCACAAAGCACCAGTGATGGCTCGACTAGAGGGCACAGTGGGAGTAAGCAGAGGCCAGAGGGCAGGAGCCGCAGGAAAGGTATCCTGAGGAGGAGGGGAGAGGGTGCTGAGTCTGAGGAAAGAGGTGCAGCAGGTCTCAGAGCAGACGCCCACCGCCACCCCAGAAGATGCCCCTGAGAGGAGAAGGTTTGTCTATCTCCCTGAGGCAGTCGATTTGATATTGCGCCACTTGGGACTGGAATTTTACTTTTCACAAGACCTTCCTGGGCCAGAAGACAGCAGGGGAACAGTTTTGGCAGACATGAGGTAGAAAAGTTCTCAGCTCTATGAACACGTCTCTTTTGGTGCAGTTTGTAACTTCTCATGCCTTTCAGAAGTTACAGCCTGAGGCACAACTCCAAGGCCCTGATCACGACTTGGGTTTCCTTAGCCCCTTCCTGCTCCCACAATGCCTGGTATACTCAGCTCTTTGTCTTATCAGCAACCATCTCTACTAAATTAAAGTGGATTTACTGAACTTTCAGGACTCTGGCAGAACAGACTGCATTTATGACAAATAACATTTACGGATCCTGATGAGTGGATTTTGAAAACAAAACCTCCATTTCGACTTTGCCTTTTGGTTTGATGTTCCCTTCTCCTTCTCTCTGAAATACAAAATGGCTTCTCCACGAAAAACACTGCAGCTCCACCAAACTGCAGAGGGAGGCGAGTCATTAAATATAGCCCGAGAAGGAAGCGCGGTCATCAAAACAAAAAACACAAGGACCCAAACGTTCCATCCTGCCCAGGCCCCTGGGGTGCTTTGCTGGTTTCGTTCTTTCTGAAGTCAGTCCAGGAGTTCAGGGCTGGAGGGGACTGAATGCCCTCAGCCCCAGGGTGTCATTTCCCAGTTTTCCTTACATTTCTTTTTGACCTTACCCAGTGTGGTTCATTAAAGAAACCCCACAACATTGGATGAGAAATCAGTCCAATTAGGTTCTTTTCTTTCCCAGATTTTACTTCTTGGTAAGTGACTGTCCTTAAGCTACTCACTTGACTTCTCTGGGTCCATCTATTAAGTATGAGTGTGAACTAGCTCATCACAAAGATCCCTTTCAGCTTCCAAATGAGAATCCACCCAGCCCACTGCTGTTGAACTTGATTCCAATGTTATCATCGGATAGAGTAGAACTGTCGCCCAGGGTTTCTGAGACTGTAAATCTACAGGAGTAAACAACCTCATCTTTCTCTTGTGGTATCAACTATTAGATGTTATTGTTGTGAAGTGCCATTGAGTTGGTTCCAACCCATAGCGACCCTGTATAGGGTTTCCAAGGAGCAACTGGTAAGCTTGAACCATCAACCTTATAGTTCAAACGACTTTGCAGTCTGGCGCATTAACCCATAGCACCACACCAGGACTCCATTAGAAAGCACGGTTTAATGGTGGTGGTAGTGATGTGCCGTGGAGTCGGTTCTGACTCATAGCGACCCTGTACAGGGTTTCCAAGGCTGTAAATCTTTACGGGAGCAGAAAGCCTCATCTTTCTCCTGCGGAACAGCTGGTAGTTTCAAACTACTGACCTTAAGGTTCGCAGCCCGATTTGTAACCACTATGCTACTGGGGGAATATCCATCATGTTGGTAGTCAGTCTCATCAAGCGCCTTCATTTCTTGGGTAGATCATAGTTTGGGACATGAAAGAAGTTGGCAGCTGGTCATTGGTTCTTATTTGTGAGCCCAAGGCTGTTGTCCATGTGACAGAGATGGCCATTGTTCTTGGATGGTGGGTCCTTTATTCATCATCTCCATCAGTGGGCTCAACTGTAACAACCCTTTAGTGCAGAATAAAAGCTGCTCCTTAGGAGCTCTGGTAGCGTAGTGGTTACAAATCGGGCTGCGAACCGCAAGGTCAGCAGTTCGAAACTACCAGCTGTTCCACGGGAGAAAGATGAGGCTTTCTGCTCTCGTAAAGATGTACAGACTTGGAAACCCTGTACAGGGTCACTATGAGTTGGAACCAACTCCACAGCACATAACAAACCTACCCACCTAGAGTTTTTAAGATTGGAAATCTTTATGGGAGCAGACACTCTGTCTTATCTTTCTCCCAAGAAGTGGCTGGTAGATTTGAACAACCGACCTTGAGGTTAGCAGCTCAACACACAACATACTGCAACACCAGGGCTTTCTATCTGAGATGGTCAATAATGATATTGTGGGTTGGCATTTACTGAGCGCTTAACTGAGAGTATTTCTCCCAACTATCCAGTGAGAAAATTGAAGTTCAGAGAGGTGGAGTGATTTGCTCAAGGACCCCGATTTTGAGCAGCAGAGACACAATTTAAACCCAGGACGTCTGATTCTGGAGTCTGAGAGCTTGACCAGGACACCACGTGGCCTCATCACCAACGTTGCTGAGCACCAGTTAATAATGTTGAGTTGGGGTCTCCTGGACTCTTCTATCTCAGAGAAGAGCACAACCTTGGTGAACTGGCAAGATCTTATCCACACCTTTCTCCACCATCCGGTGATCTGCTTTAATTAAGTCTGGGTTGCCTTCAGGTCTTGGAAACCGTGAGCTCTCTGAGTACACAGATTTATTTCAGTGGAGAAATCAGTGCAGAGGTGTGTATAGAGTGAGATGCATGGTAAGGGTGTGAGGAAGCGAGCTGAAAGGCAGGGGAAGGGCAGACAGACGGCATTTCTAACTCTGGCCCCATTACTGGCTTACTGTTGACCACACAGGTCACTTAGTTGGTTGCTATGGTTTCTCTAATCAATAAATGGAGACAATGATATATGTTAACACATCAAGAACCAAGCAATTAGTGTGTGTGTATGCATGTATATGTGTACATACTCATATGTATGTTGTTGTTGTTGTTGTTAAGTGCCATTATATATATTGCTAATTGTTGTTAGGTGCCGTCCAGTTGATATGGACTCATAGTGACCCTATTCACAACAGGACAAAACACCGCCTGGTCCTGTGCCAACCTCACAACCATCGCTCTGCCACTGTGCCAATCCATCTCGTTGGGGGTCTTCCTCTTTATCACTGACCTTCCACTTTACCAAGCATGCTATCCTTTTCCAGGGACTGGTTCCTCCTGATCGTATGTCCAAAGTCTGAGAGACAAAGTCTGCCCATCCTGACTTCCAAGGAGCACGCTGGCTGTACTTCTTCCAACACAGATTGGTTTGTTCTTCTGGCAGTCCATGGCACTTTTAATATTCTCCTCCAGCATCCAAACTCAAATATATCAATTACATACATGAGTATATATATGTATGTATATATATGTGTGTGTGTGTACAGAAAGAGAGAGCTAGGCAAGGAGAAATAAAATTATTAAGGTGATCTGATAGTGTGGCGCTGTGAGTTAATGCGCCAGACTGCAAAGTGGTATGAACTGCAAGGTCGGCAGTTCAAGCTCACCAGCTGCTTCTTGGAAGCCTTATACAGGGTCGCTATGGGTTGGAACCAACTCGATGGCACTTAACAACAACAACAAACTAGATGACAATTAACATTTGACCACTCTATTGTCACTGAATAAACAGGGATCAAATGATTTTCTGCACTGTCCACAAAAATGTGGCAGATCAGCATGGAAAGAAAAAAATGGATACAGGAAGAAGAAGCCCATATTGAGCTCTAAGTCTATTCAGTCAGGGAAAAACATGGATTTCTCTGGCTTTGTGAGGTCACAGTCTAAACGGAAACTTAATGGTGCCCTTCAAAAAACGAGAAAACTCCAAGCCTTTGATTACTTACCTTGTTTAGGAAGAACAGGTCGCGTTTGCTCTTGAGGTAGTTGGATAGGTTCCCATACTTGCAGTATTCCACAATTACCATCAGAGGCCCTGGAACCAGAAGAGCAGTGCTCAGCCACAAGGAGGCAGTCAGCCGTA